TATCATACATACATATATATACACACAATATAAATATACATATATACATATAACTATATAAATAAATTTATAAATCAAATTCTTTTTGCTCCAAAATCAAATACTGCTGGTAATAGCCTGTCACCATGTTCGGAATGCTCTATTTGTCTCTTAAACCTTGTCCGTGTTGGCTTAAACTTTGCATGAATACTTTCTCCACATTGTTCAGCAAAGTTACCCAATCCTTTGTTATGGTCATGACATAGTAGAATGTGGATTTTCCATGTTGTATTTGTTTATTTAAATTTATTGCAATTTCTTGTGCGGAAAGAAATGAATTCTTTAAATTTGTTATTGCTTCTTTGAAACCAGTTTGTAAATTGCTGGAAAAGCAACAATTTTTTACATTTCTAAAATCTCTCAAACACTGAACAATTGGAATCAAACAAGTAAATGTTTCTAAAATTTGTATTTCAAGAGAACCCAGATTTTCTAATATTTTATTCGAATTGTTTCCGTCCCAACCTCTGCCGTGGTACCCTCGCTGAGTAACATTTTTTGACTTTAGCCAATCATCAAATCCTGGCCAGACATCTAACAAAAAATTTCAAGCAGTGAAACAAAACCAATTAACAAATGAAGTTCAGGTGGAGGAACGAGTTGCTCAATAAAAGTATTTGGATCTAAATTAATATATAAAATTCGAGGATTGATGCAGTTCATAAACTCTTGCATGGATGATTTTACTGAGTTATTTTCTAAATATTTATTGTACCAATAATCAATACTGCCAAGAGTTCGTTTTGTCCCTAAATTTAATGTAGATATTCCTTCACACCATAAACAAGCTTTTTTCCCAGAATGTCCTGACAAACCAAACAGCGCGTTTCCACATTTTAATTCAAAAGCAACATAAAAACTGACATCTTGCAAATTTAATTTTTCTATAACAAGTCTCAAATTATTGTTAGATTCAGGAATATCTACAACAATAGCTAAAAATTGAGACCGTTGAATGCCACTATTTAAGTACTTGTCTGACTCATAATCTTTATGACAATCAAAGACATTGATGATTGCTTTAAAAAATGAACCTCCGCCATCCAATGAAATTCTTATAAAGGCTGATGTTGGGTCTAAACCACGCAATTTTAATAAGTCAAGTACAAAATCTGATGTATTTCAAACATATACAAGATCTCGTAAAATTAAATGGCCTTTACTATCAACAAACTTGCACTTCTGCACACTGTAGTAATTAGAAACATATTCTTCTAATTCAGAAAGACGACCAAAAATATTAGGCTCAATGGAAAGCTTATTTCCTAAACCTTTGCGTAAAGTAGAAAGCATCTCAGTTGTTTTTCTATTTGAAAGTTCTAACAAAATTTGTAATTGCTTTATTATTTCGATGGAAAGCTGCTTAATAGAAGTTCTTTTTGATTTGTTTTCTGGTGTACCAACTGTGACTTTGAGCGGATTTCCTCGTGTAGATAAACATAACGTTGATCCGTTAATCAAACTTTCTGTAGCCATTTTACTTTTTATAATTCCAGAAGCAACCTACGTAAAGTTTTCACAAAATAAGATTTGCATAAAAAACTAAAAACTTATAAACAAAATATAGTTTTTTTTACCTGTTCAGCTTGAAAAGAACCTAGAAGAAATGACAGTGTAATGATATTTGCCACAGCAGGGTGTACAGTTATGAGAATAACCAGGTGCAGGTAATGTATAGCAAAAAGAACATATACTTGACTTAGTTGTCGGTAAATTAGTTATCTCATCTGGAGAAGTTAGACTGGTTCTGGGGCTATTTCTCAAAATGGGTTTTCCACTTTACCTAAATAAATATACATTTATAAATAAACAAAAAAAAAAAAGAAAAAAAAAAATTGAAAAAAATCATTAAATTTACCTTGGTAACCTTAGTTCCCCATTCACCACGAGGTGAGTCTCCCTTTTTGAGTCTGTAAAGATTTCTTTGGCAACCAGGACAAACAACTGATGGATAGCAATTGTTGTTCATCAAATATACTGGAAAGATAAACATTTGAATTTGTTCTTTTAAGTTTTTATTCATTTTTTTCAATGATTTTGATCTTTCGCCATACTTTTCCCAGCAGCAGCAACAAGTAGAATTCATTTTTAAGTGAAAGAAATACAACTCCTAAATAGCTCGACCTTCCGCAATTTGAAAATTTTTATACTACCATATTTTTAATCTCGGAATTTTTTTTGATTAGTTAGTACAGGGGGTAATTAAATTTATAAGCCCATCTAATATGAGGTTACAGTATAATTAATATAATAAATAGCTAATATTTAATTAACTATATATAAAAATTTGTTAAAAAATAATTTTTTGACATTTATAATTTTATTTTTAAACTATTATATTAAACAATATATTTTACAAAATAAATTTTGTTTAAAAATTTATTTTGTAAAATATATTGTTTAATATAATTTCCATTAAAAAAATATCTATCAGTGGTTTCAAAGGATAAAAACAATTTTTTTAACATTTTTTTTTAAGTCAAAATCCGGCAAAAAATTAAGAAATTTTATAACCATTTTATAATATATTTATATCAAAAAAGGTATGATAGCAACACGTTTCGATTTCAAAAAATATATTTTCTAAAACAATATATATATAATACTTTCATAAAATAAGGACTTGGTTTGAGTGCTACAACAAAAAACCTGGCGGTCTCTCTGGTGCACAGTGTGCTACTTTTCTGATTATGCATTTTTTAAAGTAAAACCTAATTTTATAAGTTTTGATATTTTAGTTTTATTATTTAAGAATAATTTATGTCATAAAGTACCAAATTGTTTAATAACTATGGTTTGCAAAATAGTTTAAAATCAAAAGTAAAATACAAAAAAAAAAAAATAACTCTACACCAATTTTTTTTTTTAATGACAGACTTTTCTTAAAATCAGTAGAAATATAATAAAAATGAAATCAATAGAAATAGCATTTTGATTTTATCTTGTCAAAAATAAATTTAATAAGTATTTAGCAATGTCATTTTAAACCTTATTTTATCTACATTGCATTATTTAACACTTTTAAGTGTTAAATAATGCAATGTAGATAAAATAAGGTTTAGAATAATGCAATGTAATTTCATTGCACTTACACTTTTAAGATCAACAAGTTTATTGGCAGATGTATATTGAGCCTGCTGCATCAGGGTCTTTTTTTTATATAATGAAAGTTCTAGAAATACAAGACTTTTTTTAAGAATTTACAGATGTGCCCCCCCCCCCTTTAAAACCCGTGTCGACAGCCGTGTGCATAGGTGAAATTCAAATCATGGCAAAACATTAGAGGTGCTGGATGCTGGCGTTAGCATCTTTTGACCGAGATCACAATATAAAAATGGTAAAAAGTTCTGTATTTAAAAACAAAGGGAGGTCCGAAAAGATGTAAAAACAAATAGAATCAAAGCCGAAATCCTTCTGAATGCAGTTTTTGTTAGTAAAGACCAGTCACTAGGTCTTGAGTTGTATATTTCACCAGATTATTGGTTAATTTTTGATATTTGAAATTTTAAGCAAATTTGCTTCAGAAATAATAGTGTAAGTAAGTACAACAACATCTTAAAATAATAAGCACAGTGTTATTTTTGGTAGAGGAACACATAAAGAAAATATTGTTGAACAAATTAACTAGATTTGACATCAGAATTCTTTTTATTTTCTTCAGGTAAGGTACAGTTTGGAAACCAATATGGTCCAATATTGACTGAGAAGTTTTATTAGATGAGGGATCAGCAGTTAAGTGATCATCGTTAACAGAATATTATTTGATAAAATATAGTTAGGCACGGGACCAGATTTGCAACTATGCTGTATAAATATTTATATATCTTAAAGTATATATTTTTTATTCAAAATTCATGTTATATTTTGTATATATATGCATATATAAACATCATTATGATCTACATGATCAACATAATCATCTTTACCATCAAAATCGTTATCATCATCAGTGCTTAAATGTCATGTTATCATCATCAGTGCTTAATCATCATTATCGTCATCAAAACTTTTTTATAAACTATATGTTTTCAGTTAATTGTTTCCTAGTATTTTAACTTATTCTCTATTTTAAAGTAACTCATAACTTAATAGTGGTTGCTCGCAACCTTGTTCGAAGTAAATAAAACCGTAAAAAAAAAGTCTGTAATTTTTATTATTTTTAAATACAACATTGTCCAGGCAATTCAAAAATATATAGGTTTCATAATTTTTCTTGAAAGAAAAGTCAATAGCCATATTTCCGAGAGTGATTAAAAACCGATGAATAATTTCTTTCAAAAATACAACATTTTTTCATTTGTGTATAAATTTAAAACTATATGCACATATGTATAGATTTTTTTTTTCCAATCCGCTCTATAACACACAATACATACAAAAAAAATTTTAATCTTAACTTAAAAAGTCTTAAGCTGTTAACTTAAATCAAAAGTTAAGTTTACAGTTTAAGACAAATTAATAATTAATAAAATGATATTTAGTTTAGCAATTAACACAACTAGTAAAAGTTTTTAAAGCTTTTTTGAAGTCTTATTTCTTTTTATTTCATTAGGAGAGTAGAGCTTTGTATAACAGTTTTGATTTATTGTTTAAGAATTAGAGATGTTTTTCATCTTTTTCATGCTTTTTAATTTCTTTTTATAATTAGTGAATTGTATTTTATTTGACTCAACTTGTTTACCAACAGTTTAAATCATCATTATTAATTTTTAGTAAATAACTTTTAGCATTAAAGATAAGTTTGGTTTCTAAATACATGTGACAGCAAAAAAAGTAATTATTTTTGCATGTAGTTTATACACGAATTCTTATACAGAAACCATTACTAGCTTTTATTTTAAGTTATATATACTTAAAAGTGTTTGACTATCAATAAAACTTAATTTTTATGTTTAAACAAATTTGTACTTATACAGTTTTATCAAGTTAGCAAGTATACTGCATAATCCTTTTTAATTTAGGATGTATTGTTTTTATCACAGTTCTTAACTCCTGAAGGTCACATGATGAACAGAAGAGTAACTGGTAAGTTTAATAATATTAAAGTTAAATTTTAATAGTTTAATTTTAAAAGTAAATTTTGTTATTGGTTCAACAAAATGTCATTTGTGATGTCATGTGAAATAGTAGAACATTAGTGATGTACTGATGAAAAATTACAGATTGTGGCTAATAATAGGGCTAAGTTATATATACAAATTACGTACCTAATATTAATATATTACTTTTATATACATACATTAAACTCTATTATTAGTAACAATTGGCCTTTTTCATGGTTACAGCACTATAGGACATGCAAAATTATATGTACATGTATCAATTTTCAAACTTAAACAAAAAAGTTGCACCAGTAGTTGCTCTACAAGTGAAAGAGTTCAAACTCAGCAAGTAAAGCCATTTTAGTGATTAACAGGATTATTGTTGTTGATTAACAGGATTAGATTAATAGAAAGATTGTTAATATAGATGACAAACAATATAGGATCAAGAATAAAATCTTGTGATATTAAAGAAGTTACTGGAAATGAAGGAAAGTATTGTCTATTAAGGGCAACCTTAATACTGCAGTTAGAAAAGTGTGATTCAATATATTTTTAAAACTTTTCCAGAAACCTTCTATAAATCAAGTTTATGGAGATAACCAACATGCCAGAATTTATCAAATCCTTTTAATTCTAAGAGCAATAGCCTTTACCTCACATAGGCACTCCTTGGACCATTCCTTAGACTTGGTAGAGGGGGCATTCAACTATTGTTGATTTTTTCAGAAAATATTAACAAAGGTTGGTTAAAGATGGGATTTAAAATCGATCTAAGGGACCTTAGGTCCAACATAACTAAGAGAATTCTGAAGTACACTTTTATAGGTTCAAGAGATTATTTAAAAAAAAAAGAAAATAGACTTTTCTTTTTGAATGACACTCTTAAAGGGATCCCTAAGTGCTCCTAACATATGATCTCATATGAAAGAGCATTAAAAAAAATATGTAAGTTTTTTTTCTTTTTCACTAAATTGTAATAATAAATGCATGCTAACAAAAGCAATTGCCGAAATCACTGAAAAACAACTCTATTTTGATTTTATTTTTTTACCATTGAAACTCGATTGTTAGTTGTTAAAAATCATGTTAGTACGTCACAACAACTTTAGGATATCTACTCCGATTTTCAAGTAAAAAAAAGTCGTTATTAAATAGTTAAGTTTTAATCAAGTTTTTTAATTAATTTTTCAAAAACAGTATAATAGAATTCGTTTGAAAGACATCGTTAAAAAAAAGTTATTAAGTAATAGTTTTAAATAGTTTAGAACTTATAAAAAAGTCATACAGGGCTCGTATTAAGCGTATCACGATCGCAATTGCTTTTCACACTTTCTTCTTTCAAAAAATCTTTTCGCGATTTTTTTTTTTTTTTTTGGTTGTTTAATTACTTTTTTTCTAGCTTAGCATTTTTTTAGCAATTCTTAAAAGTAATGTTTTTATCATAAAAAACGTCACACAAAATTTATTATTCTGAATAGATAGATGAATAGATGATTTGCACGAAGATTTTCTTTCAACGTAAAACATTTTTAAATCTAAATTACTCTGTGTGGAAAATTTTTAAAAGGTCGTTAAAGCAAAAAGTTAAAAATGGAAAAGACGTTTCGAATTTTTTCTTCATTCTAACAAAACAGCCTGGTTTTTATCTTTGTTTATCAAAACTTCATGTATAAAATAAGGCTTTAAAACGTTAGAGCAAAAAAATTGCTGACTTTTATTTGCATTTTTATACTGTTTGAAAAAAAACTAATAAAAAAGAATTAATTATTATTATTATTAAATCTAATAATTGTTAATTAATATATTATTAGTTAATTCTTTTTTATCAGTTTTTTTTTCAAACAGTATAAAAATGCTAATAAAAGTCAGCAATTTTTTTGCTCTAACGTTTTAAAGCCTTATTTTATACATGAAGTATAATTCGATTTATTAAACCAAATTTTTTTGTTTCACTTTTTATTGGAAAACAATTGAAATAGAAAAATTGAATAAAAATATCAACTTAAAAACCATTTAAATGAAAAACTTAATTATATATTAAACTTTTATTAGTCCTTTATTCAAGAAACAATCAATTATAAAAAACTTGGTATCTAATTTTTTATTATGTTTTTGACGATATTTTTTTATTTATTGACAATAATTTTTTAATTTATTAATTAAAACAATTTCATTTTTTTGCTTCGTTTTTTTTAAAACACATTTCATGTTATTAAACTGTATAAAACAGCAGCAAAACAGCATCATGAAGTTGTTTTACATTAACACAAGCTATTTATATTTTAAAGACAACTTTTTGTTTTATTGTTGTTTTATAGCTTTTTACAATAACAATTAAGTACTCATTAAAAACACATGTTTTATCGTCAGCGTGATCGTATTAAACAGTTTTTTATGACTAATTAAAGTGGTTTAAATATTGCAGTGACCGATCCAGGAATTTTTGGTGGAGGGGGATATTGAAATATTTTTGAACTTTGTACCATGTTTGCGTCTCCTAAAAAAAAAGCAAAAAACAAGGTCCTCAATTTCTATGATATTTTCAAGACTTTCAGATTCTGGTGGGGGAAGGGGGGGTGCATACCCCCATTCTTCTCCTGGATCCGTCACTGAAATATAGTAATGTTTGCTTTTTACTCTTATTTTTTTACTTTTACTTTTTTAAGTATCATGTTAAGTAAAAACAATTACTTAATTAATAGTATTGAATAGGTTACTTGCTCATTACACTGTAACTGCAACTTTAAATTAGAAATTAAACTGTAAATTGTAACAGTAATTTATGCTATTTTAAACTTCGCCAAACAAGAAAATCATAAGATAACATTTAAATATGAGAGATAGTATGTTAAAAAATAACAATTACATGTTAAAGAGACAATTTTATACTAACGCAAACCCCTCCCCCCATTACTGCACATCGGCCCGAGCTATAAGAGAGAGAGAGAGAGAGAGAAGGGTGAGGGGAAAATTTTTTTTTTTTTTTTTCGCAATTAGATTTTTTAGCGTTAATTCGAGCCTTGTCTTAGTTTAATTTCTAATAAAATGTCTATTCAACCTTATCAATTTGAACCAAAAAAATGTAGCAAAATTAACATAAATGATAATTTAAATAAAACATTTTACAATAATTATTTTTTTTATCAAGCGAAAATGAGAATAACCGTCATTTTCGAAACCATAAAAATGACTGAAATAAATGTATTTTTGTACTAAGGAAATATTTTAAATAAACATGTGTCTACATCAATATTCATTAGTTAAAAAACTAACTAAGAGTTTAAAATTTGACTTCTATTCATTTTTGGCCGTGGAATTGTCCTCATAACACAAATATATAAATAAAAATTATTAAAAAAATTTTAATATACAAATATATTTTCACAAAATGCTACAAAACTTATTCTTGTAAGTAATTTGTTAGTTAAAAAAAAATGACTTTAAATTACTTTTAAATTTAATTACCAACTAATACGTTTGTAATAATGACATCTTCTCTACTTTGTTTAATTTGACGTACAAACGTTAGTTTTTTGAGGCAATAGAGTCAATAAACTTTGGACAAGACGCATTTTTTTTAATCGAAGAAAAGCGTTATTTTGAAATTAAATTTGTTAGTGTGTGTTCATTATTACGTTTAAAAAATATATAGATACATCAAACTTTTTTTTTTATGCTCTTTCATATGAGATCATATCTTTATAGCACTTAGGGATCCCTTTAAAGATTTTCCATATTTTTGAGTCATACAAAAATGAGTTTTGGTCGATAGAACTAGAGTAGCTCATCAAGCAGCAATCATGATTTGGATTTCCGTGAAGACATTAAGTATAGAATTCAGTAAGAGAGTTGTCATTTATTAATAAAGGATTGTCAACATTATTGTGATAGTTGTTTGCTGTAATAACTGATTTTTGTTGGAGTTAAAATCAGGGTTGATAGGTTTAAACCAAATGGTTTAATCCATGGTTTAAACCAATCTAAAAAGTATCAATTAAAACCTAATTAATTTTTTGTTGAAAATATTAAAACCAATTGGAGTTGCTCTAGATAAGTTGCAAAAAGATCAAACAAAAATAAGTGACAAATCTTTTAAGAGCTTATAAACATGTTATCATTTTTATCAACTGAAAAATATATTGGGAACTAGTCATCTTCAGACTATCAGTGATGCTCATTTCCTTGCAAACACGCTAGATCCTAGATATTTTAGATCTAATCTTTCTGAAAATGAAAATAAAACTGCAATGACCTTTAGAGATAAAGGATTTAAGAACTTGGTACCAATAATATTCAAGTTGAAATCTAAATCTGTTCCATTTTGATAAAAGCTATTTTTATAGTGAATCTGTTTTAAAAAGTGTATCACCAATAGAATGGTGGAAATCTCTAAAATATTTGAACTGCATCATGGATATTGATGGTTGTTAAGCACACCAGAATCTAGTGCTGGAATTAAAAGAATTTTTTCAACTTTTGGACTTGTAAATTTCAAGTTAATAAACAAGATGGGAGTAGAAAAAGTGGTAAAACTTGTTTTTATATACAGAACATTAAATAAGTATTGTTTGATAAACTACAGTAATGTTGAAAGAAAATATAATTTACTCAAGTAAAGCAACTAATGCTTTTTTTAATTAAAAAAGTTGAATAATCATGGCTTTTTTTAAAAAAAAGGAGTTGAAACCAAAAAAACCATGGTTTTTTTGTTTGTTTATTTAAAAAAAAAAACAGAGTTTGGTTTTTTTCAAAAAAAAAATGTTTTTTTGCAACTCTGGTTAAAATTCACAAGCCAATGCAAGTCCCAAGCTTTTACAGAAAAGAGATCAGATTCAAGATTGGTTGCCTATTCTAAACAATCAAAAGAAGACTTTTTGTCAAGACAATAGAGTATCAGGTTGAATCTTTAGTAAATAGAGTCACTTTAGATGTAAGATTGTCAGGAAGATTATTAATGTTGATAAGAATCAACACAGGACCAAATACAAAAAAATGTTGTCTCAGATTTTTGAAAACTATATTGCTACTGATTTAAAATACTTAGATTAAGGAAAATACAAAATATTTTTACTCTGGTGATAGTAATCCCAGAGATAGTGACCATCAAATTTCTATTTGAAGTTTACCTGGATTATAGCCAATTTTCAATTTTTTGTTTTCCAAAGTGATAATTGCTTTACTTTTCATAACTTCTAAAGTTTGTATGAGTAATGGTAAAAAAGAAAACTTGGTACAAAAGTTAAATGGAGTTGAATCGAATTACCAAAGATTTTGGAGAGAGTCATCAAAAGCGAAAAGTTTTTTTTGAAAAAAAACATGAAAAATGGTTAAATAAAGAGTTTGAAAAATACTTTTTGTAATTGAAATTGGCACAAAATATAAAAGGTCGATCAAAAAAAGATTTTGATGATATGAGTAAAAGAAGTAAACGTCTGATAATTGCAGGAGAGCATACAAATTCAAATTTTGGATCAATTGAAAAATCATTACTTATAGCCCGTAGAAAAGTATATAATCAAAAAGATTTTTCTTTATTTAATATGTTAACACATATCATCAAAAAATCGTTTTCCGATTCTGTTGACATTCAAGATTCAAGCATGTTTGCAGTTGTAACAACACCTTTGAGGCTTGGTGTGACAAATTCAAAAACATTTTGTGGACCAACTTAATGCCTCTTAGTGTAAAATTTTGTAGGCCAATTAAATTTCATTTCATCAAAGAAACTACCGTAGTCGTTTCAGAAAAAAGCGTCAAATAGAAGATGAATTTTTGGATTTGCATTCAGTGAATATTGAATTAGTTAATGGAAAGTTTGTTATTATTGATTTTTACTTTATTTTGTTCATGATTGATGGAATAGTTTTAGCAATTATAACAAACACATCGTCAACGCAGTGGTGTTGTATTAGCAGAGCCACACCAACTGCAATGACTTGTTTAAAGAACTTCCTAAGTGGATTTACAGAAAAAATAGGTACACTTATTTATCGGATATCTCTGTTACATGCTTACATGCTTGGATAAGATTTCTAGAGTGTCTTTTACATATTTTATACTGACTCGAATTCAAAAAATGGAGAGTAACCAAAGAATTCAAGACAGTATACGATAACAAAAAGAAATTAATCAGCAATTAATGTTCAAAAGGAGTATATCCAAATTGATGTTCTTGCAGTTAGTGGAGGAGTAACATCTACCACCAAAAATGTTTGCAGAAAAGCGTTCTCTGACCCAAAAGAACTAAGCGAAATATTAGAGATTGATAAGACATGTATTAAAATGTTCAAAAATATCTTTTTAGTTGATATAAGTTGTCAGCAAACATTGAATCCAGAGTTATTTGAGCTATACTGTAAAACAGTATACCGTCCATATTTAGATCTGTATGATTGGTATAAAATGCCATCAACAGTTCACAAAGTTCTTGCACATTGAGCAGAAATAATAATAACCCGCCAGTTCCCTTGGGAGTTTTAGCTGAGAAAGCATCTTCTGAATGCCAAATCAAATATAATAGAGGATGTCGTGAACTACATGCTCGTAAATGTTCAAGACAAGCAAATTTTAAAGATGCCTTTAACCCTGCAATGAGATCATCCGATCCACTTATTAGTTCTATCTCCTTGAAATCTAGGCAGACGAAGAAAGTTGTGCTCAAACTTCCAGAAAAAGTAAAGAGTTTTTTAATTTTAGAAGTGGACAATAAGGAATCAATAAAACTGACAGAATCCTCAGGCTTATAATTATCAGAACCAACAGAAATGATTAATTTAGAAAATGAAATAATGAACGATTTAGAAGCTACTAATGTAGATTATTTGGAAGATGAAAACATTGGCGTATAAAATAAGTACAACAATATTAAAAATAAAAATTATTACTTTGGAGAAAGTTTTTTAAATATTCTATTCAGCGGTGCCGCTAGTTGTTCGGAGTTGTCCCCTAAAAAAACCAGTCATTAGGGCCCAACAAATCTTAAAAATTTTACTTCATTAAGTTTATCTATAAAATAAAAAAAAAAAAAAAAAATTTGAAATTTGTACTTTTATAAAAAACGCTTAAAATTGGGTCAAAACGCAGAGCCGTCCAGGTGTTGAAACTAAATAAGTTAATAAATTGTTAGTTTAAATGACATAAAGATAAAAAAATTAAATAAAAGTTATTACTTTCTTCAAAACTATTTTTGGCCACTCATTTGTATAAAATACGACATAGTGTGTGGGAAGCTACAGGAGGCTTGATTTAAAACTAATGAAAAGAAACAAAAGCTTCTGTGTCTGTCTATGTTATGAGATTATAAAGTAAGTGCAACATTTAGTTGAGAGAAAAACATTAGATTAACCTTCTAATTATGTCAAAAGAAATGTTTAGCTGAAAACTGATTTTTTTGTTGTTGTTGTTTTTATATTCATGTTGTGAAAATTTTTATATTGTCTTTTAAAATTTTAAATTTAAAGCTACATATAGTCAGCAACAATTTTAATTTTTATGTTGATTGTGTCATGAATCCAAGGCAATTTTGTAATACCAAATATAGTAGTGGCATGGCCATAAATTAGCAATAAATTAGCATAAATTAGCAATTTTTTTTTTGTTAAATTAAAAGTATTAAACAATCTTAATCGTTTTTTTTTGTCAAAATTTTTTTTAAAGTCAAATTTTTTAATAAAAAATTTGAAAAATTAATTATTAAATTATATAAATTATTGAAAATTATTATTATTAGTGAAGTCAAAATTATTGCAAACAGTGTAAGTTCTCAAACTCTTAAATAATTGGACATTTTTTAATGATTTTTTAAATGCATTGTTATAGTTTATGAAAGGATTTTTGTAATATTGACGATAAGAATTTGAATAATGTAAGTCTAAAAAGTTAAAATGGTTTGAACAATGATCTTTAGACTGGCTAACACACTAAAGTTAAAAAATAGATAAGAAAAATATATCTATTTAAGAACTTAAATTTATTTTTTTAATTTCAATGTTTATATTTTATATTTAATTTGAATTTAAAGTATAAACATTGAAATTACAAATATTTCTATTATGTATTTTATTTTTCTATGCTGTTGTCAAATCTTTTTTTTTTTTTTTTTTTTTTTTTTGTATGGTGGTAAAAGTAATTAGTTTTTTTGATGATTTCAAAATAAAAGTTTTATTAAACATACTTTGTTTTTTCATTTTTATTTGATTATAAATTTTAAAATGAAACTAATTTTAAAGCCACACAAATAGATACACTGACATAATAATACTCAAAATTTTAATAAAGTTAGTAAGTTATCAGTTAGTATATTAAATGGTAATAAAGTAAATTATTAATTAGTATATTAAATTAAATTATAATAATGTTGATGTTTTTTTTAGGAGTTTGTAAAAAGCAGCAAGTTGCTATTTTTAAAGCAATACATATTGCAAGGAGACAAGGTAAAAAAAAATTTAATGTTAAATATACATTAATAGTGTTTGTTGTTTAACCTCACTTATTTTAAAAGAACAAAATATTTTTTCTTAATTTGGAACAGTTCTTGGTAACTTAAAAGTTTAAAAAAATTTAATAAAAGATTTTCTGAGTTCTTGTGAGAAAACTCATGAGAAAACCTTTTATCAAATTGAAAATTTGATAAAAGATTTTCTCATATGAGTTTTTTTAACTCATGAGTTTCGTTTTAAAATTTTGAGTGCCTAATAAATCTGTAATAGCTGGGAGTAGAGATTATTTGTAATTGTTAGCAATGAAGAAATTCATACAAAATATCTTCTATTAATATGAGTACACAATATAAAAGACAAACAAAGCCAAAATCTAATTTCGTCACCATTGAATTTATTAAACAAGTGAAATGGAAAACAAACTATTATTGATTCAGAGGGATCATTTATTTTAAAAAGCTTCCAAACAAAACTTTTTGTTTTATGATATTTACTGTGGGAATATTTTAAAGTATTTGACTTAAATATTTATCAAAATATGCAATGTAGGGTTTGTAATGAAAACATCAGTTCGTCAATACGAATATCAAAAAAATGTGTAAAAATTATCCGGTCAGGTAATTTTTAGTTATCCGTTTATCTGGTATTTGCCCATATATTTTAAAAAACTATCTGGGACATCCCTAGTATATTTTACAAAAAGTGCACACAATGTTCTTAAAGAACAGAACAGGAATCAATTAGTAAAAAAACACTTATCTAATGTTTTTGTAATTGTAAGTGAAAAATTGATTGCCCTATGAACTGTAGAAGCTTATTTCTTGTTCATTGTTTCTTCACAAAATAAACTTGATATTGGGTTAAATCAACACAAAACATAAAAATATTTAAAAGAGACAATGCTTTTAAAATAAATTTGGAATCTAAATGAAAGAATATTAGTTTTTAATTAAATCATTGTTCCTATTGATCCTGAGATTAATAATGAGTGGAGAAACTTGAGATTAATAATGAGAGAAGAAACCTTAGAATAATAATGAGAGAAGAAACCTGAGATTAATATTGAGAGGAGAAACCTTAGATTAATAATGAGAGAAGAAACCTGAGATCAATAATGAGAGGAGAAACCTGAGATCAATAATGATAGGAGAAACAAAAAAGTTAAAAAAGTTAGATAAGTGTTTTTTTACTAGTTGTAATACAAATTCTTAATAAAATAAAGTAATATCTACTTTAGCATTTTAATTCTCAAAACAGTTAGAATAAAAATATATATATATATGAGTGGGTCAGAAGCCAAGGGGTACAAGTGACAATTTTACTAAAATTAAGTTAAGTATAGAATTTGATAGAAGAAGCAAACAAAATTGTTGGTAGCCAAGGGATACAAGTGAATCTCTGCCCTGTGCTGCTTTCTACTGGAAAAACATAACAACAGCTGAATATATTTAACAAAAATACTTTAACTTTAAACAGCTGTATCTCAAAACTATGAAATTGTTACTTGTACCCTTGGCTTCTGACCCACTCATATCTAATTTTAAAACTAAGACATTGTTAAAAATGAGTTTGGTAGCCTAGAAACTAGTAAAAGATTATATGCCAGTGTAAAAATTAAATAATTATGTTTATAATAAAGTAAATCTACTTCACCAGTTTTAATTCTCAAAACAGTTACAATAAAAAAATGAAAAAATCAAAATTTAAAAGCTAAGAAATTGATATAAAAAGTGTGGTTGCCTAGAAACTAGTAAAAGATTACATGCCAGTGTAAAAGTGAAATCTTTATGTTATTAAGTTTTTTTCCATCTTTTTATAAAATTTAAGATTTTTTTTTTAAAAAAAAAAAACATCTTTGCTTCAAACAAGGCTGCAAGCAACCACTAATTAGTGTTGGAAGTTACTGGAAGAGAAAAGATGAAGATTGTAGAGCAAGATAACGATTGGCAGATGACTTAAAAGATTGCAAATTATACGAATCAGGAAAGCAAGATGAAGGAAGCGAATTCCAAAGAACTGATGTTTGAGAAAAAAACTAGAGGAGTAAGAGTTTTTGGAGCACTTAGGAACAGTCACAGAAAATAGATGAGAATTGATTGAATGACAAGTAACACGAGAATGAATTTTAGTAGATGGCACAAGAGAAGCTAGCTCTTTAGAGCAGTACCCATTATCGTATTTGTAGAAAAGAGAAAGAGAAGCAACATTACAACAATGTGATAATGGTTGAATGTTAGCTGCATGAGGTCGGGTCCAACTATGTTTACAATGCATTTTTGCACCTTGTCTAAAAGAGAAAGGACATCATTAGAAGATCCGCCCCAGATATGGCAACAGTATTCCATAAAAGGCCGGATTTGATATTTAAGAGATAGAGAATAGAATCCATAGAATGCAACTTTACCAGATGCTAATTTTACAACGGATTCGATATATGGTTTCCAAGAAAGATCGGAAGTAAGACTCAATCCTAGAAGATGAAGGGTAGATGACTCATCAAATACATTACCGTTCATAAGTATAGGAAGGTCTAAATTATTGCGATATTGATTGGCTGAAAAAAATTGAATTTTATCTGAATTAAAGTTCACCAGCCACTGTGAGCTCCATGCTGTAGCAGAAGTGAGCTCCTTATTAAGCTCAATTCCCCCCTGTAAGCAATCAGAGAGAGTTGGCTTCTTATCATGACAAGAATAAATGGTAGTATCATCAGCAAACAATGCCACCTTAGATGTAAGAATATCTGGAAGATCATTAGTATAAATTAAAAAGAGTATAGGGCCAAGGATTAAACCTTGAGGAACCCCTGAGGTTACAGAATAAGAAGAAGAGTGCTGTCTATCAAGGAAAACTTTTATACTACAATTAGGAAGGAAGGATTCAGTAATCTTAAAGATGTTTCCAGATAAACTGTAAGAAGAAAGCTTATGGAGAAGACCAGCATGCCAAATTTTATCAAACGCTTTAGAAATGTCAAGAGCGATGGCCTTGACCTCTCCACCTTTATCTAAAGCACAATAAAACCTATCGGTTATTGCTGTTAGCAAATCAGCCGTAGAACAAGAAGATTGAAATCCATATTGATGATTAGAAGATTATTAGATTCAAGATGAGAGATTAAGTGTTGTTAATTAAAGATTCAAAAACCTTGCTTATGATAGGAAGAAGACTAATGAGACGGTAATTAGACAAATCAGATCGCTCTCCAGAATTTTTAAAAGTAGGGATAACAGATACTGCTTTCCAGCAGGCTGGAAAATAAGACTCTGATAATCACTTGTTGAATAGTTTTGAAAGGATATACGATAACTCTGGAAAACACTTCTGCAAGACTATAACAGGTATGTTGTCCAGGCCACAAGCTGTAGAAGAATCTAAGCAGGAAATCTCTTTAGATACAGAAGCTGGAGTGATACGAATGTCAAGCAATGAATCAATCTGTTTGACTGCTATATCAGGTAATACGCAACTAGTGGAATCAAGAGATGGTATTGATGAAAAGTTCTTAGCAAATAATTCAGCTTTGTCTTTAGGTAAGGTGACAAGGTCTGAACCATACAAAAGAGGTGGAATTACAGATTTTTCCTCATTATTGATACTATTAAAGATTCTCCAGAAGTCACGAGAGCCTAATTTTTGTGATGAACTAAGAGATTTCATGACCTGAGAATATTAATTAAAAAGAGTTGTAAGTGGCTTTTTTTCACATAAAGTTGTCTTGAAGTCTAAATAGAAAGGCTCATTTATAAGGCTTTCTGTATATAATTCAATTTTTTTTAAGTGTTTTAAACTTTAAAACACCATTAGTTCATTTTTCATATCTTAGTTATATAATATGAGAGTTCAAATCACCATTAGGTGATTTGATTCATCATTGATTGATTTGATTCATCATTGATTGATTTGATTCATCGTTGATTGATTTGATTCATCATTAGGTGATTTGAATTCTCATATTATATAACTAAGATATGAAAGTTATGTCAATGGCCTGATTAGTGAGGGGCAAATATTTGGGGCCTGAAATTACTTTCTCTTTCTAAAATACTAAAAATATTTATTTTTAGATATAAAAAAGAAAGAGCTGCAAGTATCTACAATTAGTGTACTATATATTATGTTTTATGCAGATACTTGAAATAACACTTTGACCAATATATACTATCCTAATGTTTTTAAGGTCACACATGGCTTCTCATTTCAAAGGTCACACATGATTTACCATTTCAGTCTAACATTTATATAGTGTAGTATACATTATAATATTTGCAGGTATTTGTGATAACCTAATTCTCCAATTATTAACCCAAAGTGCTTAAGGTTGCTTATGAAAAATTAGAACTCATAACATGTGTGTGTGTAGGCTTGTCAGCCATCAATAAATATGATGCATGGCTGGCTCGCTAATACATGTGGCTCGATAACCAGCTAGCTGGTTGTAAACCTAGTGGTGGCTGGCTAATAAAAAATAAAGCTGGCTAGCCGGCTGAATATAGAAAATACCATGTGTTATTTGCAACTATTACAATTACTAAATTTATTTCACAATCCTAATTAATTTACAATAAACCAATGTTATCATGTGTAAAAATAATCATGTTTATATTAGTTGGTAACTAATCCAGCAGTAGAAAACATGCATTTTACTGCTACACTGCTTGATGGAATGCATAAATATTGACTTGCCAGACATGCCATATGGGGAAACTTTTTATGATTATTTTTCCAAAACTCTAAGGGTCTTTTTTTTCATCTTTTCTTAGTAGACAATTAGTATAATTATTGAGCTACCTGGCTAAACTTTGATGTCCGTTTTGATCGTAATTTGGAAGGGCAGCTTTAATTTCTTGAAGCAGTAATTTCTTTGCAGTAGAATAATTTTCTACAATTTAATTAACATAAATCAACCATGCAAATAAGTTCAATACAAACATTTTAATATTAAAATTTTAAAACTAAATGCAACTAGCTATAATATAGAAACTTATTTATAG